ATAAAATTTACAAAAAATACATCAAACAATCTAACACAAAAAATACACTAAAAATAAATAATCACTCACAAATAAAAATATCTATATATACATATATAAATATATAATCATATAACACTAAAACACACAACAACTCTAAAAATAAACCTCAAAAACACACATCAATATCTAAACCACATATCATAAAAATAAAAAATAATATATAAATCTATATAAAACTAACACCATCAAACACCATACATAAACAAATAACAAACCCAACATATATATAACAACAATAAACATATATAAAACCTAAAAATCTAAACTATCAACATATATAAAATATAACAACATATCTCACAAATATAAATCACTATAAACATCACCTACAAAATAAACATAAACATAACAAAACCTTATAATACATTATATAAAATACATCAACACACAATCTAACAAAAATACCTTATCAATAACTAAGAGATATAAATATTAATGAACTAAAGTACCAAAAAAACACAAAATGTAATATCACAGGTAATATGATAAATATGTATCAATTATATATAAATCAATGACAAAAACATACACACAGTCTGTGACACTATATAATAAAAAACACACATAAATCAATATCTCTCACACACACTCACAATCCCACCACACAACTCAAATCACTCCCCTACAAAAATATCTATAAACATATATCAAACTGCACCAAACACTAATATATATATGGCCATATAAAAAACTACATCAACAAAATATATACACATACAACAAACCTCAAAACACTATAACTCTCACACACCCAATATCACACTCTAACACTCTCCACACAAAATCCCAACACTCTAACAACACAATATAAATCTTATCCTTCACCAACAATAAACACTAAATAAAAAAAATCAACTACCTAAAAAAATCATACACACGTTCACTAACACAAAAATAAAACTCTCACACTCAACACACTAGAACTCTAAAACACACAAACCCACACACCCACACTATAACACTTCACACCCACATAAAACACTAAAAAACCAAATAAACCTATAAATATCAAAACTATAGCCAATAACTCAAAAAAAACATATAAATCACCCACAAAACAAAAACACAATATCACAAAATAAACAAATATAAATACCATAGAAAAAATACCTATCACTCAAAATATACATCTCACACACACAAACCCCAACAAACTAAAACCAAAAAAATCTATACAAAAATATATACCTAACATAAATACCAGACACAAATCTAAAAATAACCACACTCACACAAACTCTATACTATCAAGACACACCACACACACAATAAACAAACGTCACAATACCAATAACTACTAACACTAAAAATCAAATCAACATGCAAAATCAAAAATACACACACAGTCACACAATAAAATATAATTCTAACTCTCACCACTCACTCACACATCACTATAACTCTAAAAAACCTATGACAATCTAACATAACAGATAAATCACAATACAAACACAATCACCAAAAGACTCATCACAACATACACTCACAAAAAGAAACAAGTCACTATCTTACACACAAAAAGTAAAACACACACACAAAACTAAAACACACAACACTCCTCTCCATCACAATCTCCTACACAAACACAAAAAGTATCACATATAATGACAAACCAAACACCTGTCAATATCACAAAATGAAAATAACTCAAAGAACACTAACACTATGACAAAATAAATCAGTACACACACATTATATACATCACACAGTACACACACATACCACATTCACACACACCAGATCGAAGACACGAAAGCGCTTGGAAATTACACTAATCTATCCAGAGTAGGATTGTTCATGCAAAATAAAACCGAAAAAAAATATAAACAACTATAAAAAAAACTATAAATACATATCAAACCTAGAATACATATATACAAAATATATCCCTATATAAACATAAATAAATATAAAACAAAAAAAAAATAAAACACTAAGTATATCAATCTATATACATATATAATACATCATAAATACATAAATATATATAAACATAAGTATATATAGCTAAATAGAAATATAAGAATATATATAAACTATATCAATACATATAATAAAAATATAAAAATATATAGATCACTAATATTATATGTATATCTAATGTGGTATAATATATATAACAAAATATTAAAAAATATATATCTGTATATATATATATGTATATAAATTATATATATGTTATATATATAATTTATAATATCAATAACACTGTAATAAATCTAAATATAAAAGTATAAAAAATAACTAAATACGTATAATAAGTATATAAATATATGCAATGTATAAATATATATATATATAAATATATATATATATAAATATAATAAAAATATACGAATATATAAAATGCAAAAACAACCACTCCAGAAGAATAGAGAAATACCAACCGCTTTCGAGACTACTCACATTAAATTATATACATATACATCTCTATACATACATATATATATATACATATATATATAACAAATATATCAAAACAAATATAAAAATACATATATTATATACAAATATATATACATATATATATATACAAATATATATATACATAAAAAATATATAATATATCTATAATAAATAAATAAATACATATATAAATATAATTATATATACATATATATATATAATATATCTATATGAATATATATATAATATGTTTATAATACATATATATATAAATATAATATATATATAAATATATATATTTGTAATATAGGAATATATATATATTATATGTATATATATATATATATATATATAAAAATATAAATATATATATATATATATATATGTATATATATAAATATATGAATATATATATATAAATATATATATATATATAAATATATATATATATAAATATTAAATATATATGAAAATATATATATATATATATAGAATATATATATATATATATATATATATAGATTATATATATATGAATATATATATAAATATATATATATAAATATATAATAATTAAATATATATATATATATATATATATATGTAATATCTAATAATATATATATATATAAATATATATATATATATATATGAATATATAATAAATATATGTATATAATAATATAAAAGTAAATATATATATATATGTATATAATATTATATAACTATATATATATATAAAATATATATAAATATTAATATATTATATATATATATATATGTGTATATAAATATATAAATAATATATGTAATATATATATATATATATATCAATATATGTATAATATATATATATATATAATTATATATATATATATATAAAAATATATATATATATATATATAAGTTAATAAAATAATATATATATATTAAATATATATCAATATAATATATATATATAATAATATGGTTATATATAAATATCAAAATATATAGTATATATATATATAATCTATATCTAAGAATATATATATATATATATGTAAATATGAAAAATATATATATAAATAAATATATATATATGTATATAACATAAAAATAAATATATATATAATATAATATAAATATATAAATGTAAAAATAATATCATCATGAATATATATATTTATGAAATAAATATATATATATATGTATATAATATATAAATATGACTATATATATATAATTATATATAACTATATATATATATAAATGTATATATATAAAATATATATATGAATAAATATATATCTGTATATATATATATATATAATATGTATATATAGATATATAAATAAATATATGAATCAATATATATATATATATATATAATGAATATATATATATATATTATAAATAATATATTTATGTATATATATCTATACTATAAATATAATATATATATATAAATAAAAATAAATATGAAATATAACTATATATATATATATATATATATATATAAATATATATATATATCTATATAATATAAATATATATAAATATATATAGTATATATATTAATATGAATCTATATATAATGTATATATATATGTGTCTATATATATAAATATAATATATATATATATATATATATATATATATATATATATATATATATATATAATTTACATTTATCCCTGAGCTGTCATGATAGGAGACGGGGCAGGTGTTGTGTTCACTATGCATCTCGAGGCTAGCCTGAGCCGGCCATTTGTTGACTCGTATCAGCTGATGGTGAACTGGCTGGCCGACCGGATAGTGGCACAACCTGTACGATGCTAGTAGCTGTGACACTTTCCTGAAGAAGACCGTGGGAGGAGGAGGGAGTAGCCCTATTTATGTGGCTTATTGGATGGAGGCAGAGGCAGGGTTTAGGTCTGGTTCTAGGAACCTTTCTGCAATAAGAAAAGCCTTGAGAGGATTATATCTGTGCTCTGGAGAAATTGAGAAAAATGCACAATTGTCTTGGTTCTTGTTACATTACCATTTTCAAGCAGAAATGCAAATACTGTAGTTCCACACTGCTGTAACTCTCAATGCCCCAGAAGTACTCTTGTGCTGAATGGACTAAAAAAAATTTTCTTATTAATTTTGGTCAAGTCACCCATTGTGTGTACGAGGTCATCTTTCCTTCATGTTTATAACTGTAAGACTAGCTTCATTATTTATCTACACCTTCCCCACCTGCCTTACTACACTTTTCCCCCCTTCCTCACTACACCTATCCTACCACTTCTCTATACCTTTTCTCATTATTCATAATTACTTCCCCATTCTCTGCTATTTATATTCATCTTCCCCATCCCTTGAAACCATCCCATCTATCGTTCCTGTATCTGCGCCATCATTCTTGTTTATCTCTTTCCGCTATTTCTCTCTACTTCCTCTACCATTCCTGTCCACTTCCTGCTCCACCACCTCTCCCATAGTCAGGGGAGTGTAGTGATATATGACAAAGAGTAGCAGTGGTTGTAGGAGTGCAGAGTCTGAATTTGGTCCGTTTCCGTCCCCAGATTCAACAGCACTATTACCCTTGCCAACACCCGTCAGCTCACAGTAGGCAACAGGAACAGAGAACGTCCGCCCATTACAGCCTTTACAACACCGCAATTTCTCCAGAAAACGTACCCATAATGTTCCCAGTAAGTTTTCCTTCTCCTACGCTGATTTATGAATGAGAGCGTCCACTACAACACACCAGAAGCATGAATGAAGAACTACTACTACTACTACCGCTGCTGCTGTTGTTGCCGCTGCTGCTGTTGCTGCTGCCGCTGTTGTTGCTGCTGCTGCCCCTCCTTGCACAACTAGACACCGACGTGCAGGTCCGCGTCGTTCGCCGGAAGCTTTTTGTTATATTCCTTCATCTGTTGGCTACCTCAGTCTTGCTTGTTATTTATTTTTAGTACGTGTGTACATTCCTGCTATGTGCTGTGCTAGATGAAATAGCGCTCCCCAACACTGTATAGAACACAGCATTGTTAGATGAAACAGCGCTTTCCGACACTGTATAGAACACAGCATTGTTAGATGAAACAGCGCTTTCCGACACTGTATAGAACACAGCATTGTAGCACCTTTTCTGTGCCTCGTGCCACGCACCCAGACTCCCTGTCCAGATCAACCACACGCACAGTTCGATCACCTCAGACATACGCACCCAGAACCCTCCTGTACGCCCACACAAACATAGCAGCCGGTGTGAGAGGCAGGGCCAGGAGATGAGAGACTACTCACTACATCCACAGATAGGTGAGTACAAACAGGAGCGTACACAAACACACACACACACACACACACACACACACACACACACACACACACACACACACACACACACACACACACACACACACACACACACACACACTAATCGACATGTGCCTAGGACCAAATGGTAACTAAGACACACACACACACACACACACACATCTAAACTTTGTAAACATATCTTCAGTCACCATTAACGTGTATGGTATGGACTTTGCTTATCACTAAACTTTTTTTTTTTATATATTGTTATCTTTTAAGTATAATGCTGTTCCTTACGAAAACTGTTCTTATAAACCTCAAATCACATGGATATTTTTTTCTAGAGTATAATTCATCACGTCCTTTCACTGGACGACACTTTTATATTTGTTTTGACGTGATTTTACTCATTCATGTCCTCTAACACCTCTCTTACACTAAGGTTCAGTTTTTTCCCTGTATACTGTCTGATTCTATTGTGTGTGTGTGTGTGTGTGTGTTCTGATCAGCTTACTGCTTCTATCCTTATCATTCACATGAAGTAGATTTATAATAAAGAGCTTTACTCCTGGCTGACACTTGTGTACACACATGGGGTATAAAGACAGTATGCGTAGTGCCAACATGTGTTGGCATTACGCCTCTACACCCAGTGTGCATGTTAAATAATAAGACACTTGTGCAACATTCTTCAACTTGTCGGTTTTGTAAAGCATTTCCATCACAGATGTATGAACATTCTTGCCAGCTTCTTGCCTCTAGCTTCATCATGCAGTGCTTGTGTAATTATATTCTCCAATTTATTGCTCATGATTGGATCATTACATTAGTTAGCGCTAATAAATGTATTATGAGGTTATCCTGGGCGTGTTTATTGTTGAGTAGACTGGTGTATCCGGAGGCTTATACCAGCCACACCTAGTGTGTCTTCATTTAACTTTGCTCTCATATACGTTCATCTTCCCCACGTATTTTAGTTTATTATGTGAGGCGTTGCCCGGCAGAAAAGAATAAGAGAAAAATTCAAACATTGGAGAAAAACACAGGCGTGGGGGAGACTGGAGCTGTGAGGCTCAAGTTACCATACTTTGTTATGGGACCCCGAGTCTAACTTAGAGACGCTGAAGACAGCATCTACACATTCTGACAAACAGACGAAACACTGAAGGAATCTATTCCTTCACTAACCGGATTTTGGCCTTGTTGGCGCTTATTGTTTTCCAGTGCGCAACAGCCCATGTGAGCTAGCGAGACAAACTCGACTCGAGCATTCTGGGGACTCGCGCAGATCTCAACGACACACTTATCATTCGTACTGTCTCACCCACCACCCTAGTATTGTTTCTCACCCTCAAGTATCCTTCCTCATCCTTTTAGTCTTACCTAACACTTAATAATTCTTAACCGCTTCCTGATAATTCTTACCCACCCCTTGATACTTCCTCCTCACTCCTTGATATTTCTTGCCACTTCGTGATGTATCTCTCGATAATTCTTCCGTACCTTTGCTTCTTAGTTGTAATCCCTCTATTCTTCATCTTTATCCTTCCATTCTTAGTCTTAATACTTCCATTCTCCGTCTTCACCCTTCCATTTTTCATGTCAGCCTCTTCATTCTGCATGTCAGCTCTCTTACTTTTCATATCAACCCCCATTTTTCATGTCAACTTCTTTATTCATGTCAACCCCTTCATTCTTCGTGTCAACCCCTTTGCTCTTCATATTACCCTCATCATTCTTTATATCAGCCCTCTTCATTCACGTCAACTCCTTCATTCTTCATGATAACCTCATCATTCTTCATGATAACCTCATCATTCTTCATGATAACCTCATCATTCTTCATGATAACCTCATCTTCATGATAACCCATTCTTATGTACTCAATTCTTCAAACCCTCATTTGTCATCCCTTTCGTTCATATCAACTATCATGTCACCTTCATCTTCATGTCAACCCCTTCATTCTTCATATCAGCCCCATCATTCACGTCAACCCTTCATTGACAAGTGTTGAATCATTACATCCTCCTCGCTGACTGTTTCTTCTATATTTGTTTACTCGTCTTGGACTCACAATAGCATACTGCCGTCTAGTCTTGCTTGCCACACCTTGACAACACCTCTCTAACTCAAGTTAGCATCAACAGTGTTCGCCCACCATCACACTGCCTGTACATGAATGGTCTACAATACCGACAAGATGAAGAATTAGGCACATGTACAACATCTGGGTATCTTCATTTGTAGACGTTTCGCCCTTCACTGGCTTGATCAGTACAAAGACTGAGGGACTTACTACGTGATCTTTTGCATATAGTTCTACATTCTTCACATTTATCTCCTTGTATTGATACAGCCACTGAATGGCGAAACGTCTATAAATGAAGATATTCAGATATTGCAAACGTCTAGTTCTTCAACATACTGCTTGCTCAGGTTACTCTAAACTTAAGATGCATGTGCAAGTTAGGAATCATAATTGTTGGAAGGTTTCACCTGCACAGCAGGCTTCCTTGGGCTGTATTCAACTGAAGCAGTCAACTGTGCAGCGGATAAAACGTCTCGATAATAAAAGCGTCTAAGTTTTCACATATTTCACTCAACTTGGCGGTATTGGATACCATCAGTGATGCTGTAAACTTGTCAACGTATTCTTCATTCATCAGAATTTAGCTTCATCTTCGACACAGTAGCAGTTCCTTTAACTTCCGATCAGCTGTTAACTTTGACACAGTAATCGTGAGGTAATAGCTTTCAAACAGCAGCCTTCAATTTAGAGTGTTAACTCCGACAACAACAGCAGCAGCAATTAGCTTTGACAACAGCAGCCGTTAACTTCACAATAGCGGCTATTTGCTTTGACAATAGCCGTTACCTTAATAGCTACCCGTCAGCTTTGATAACCGTTAACTTGACAATAACAGCAGTTTGTTTCGATAACAGCCATTAGTTTTGATAACAGCCGCCGCTACCTTTGACAGCTACAGACATTACCTGATGCCTTAGAAAACGACTGTAAATCTTTGTAAAGAAAATAGGAGCTTCACCTATGACGCAAAGTAGACGCTAGTTTGATACAAAGTATCCGCTGGTCTGATACAAAGTAGATGCCAGTATTGAAAGTGTCCGCTAGTATGTATTGATACAAAGATGCTAGTACTGATACACAGTAGACGCTAGTATTGATACACAGTAGACTAGTATTGATACACAGTAGACTAGTATTGATACACAGTAGACTAGTATTGATACACAGTCGACACTAGTATTGATACACAGTTGATACACAATAGACTAGTACTGATACACAGACGCTAATATTGATACACAGTAGACTAGTACTGATACACAGTAGACGCTAGTATTGATACACAGTAGACTAGTATTGATACACAGTCGACACTAGTATTGATACACAGTCGACACTAGTATTGATACACAGTTGACACTAGTACTGATACACAGTCGACACTAGTATTGATACACAGTCGACATTAGTATTAATACACAGTACACTAGTATTGATACACAGTCGACACTAGTATTGATACACAGTCGACATTAGTATTAATACACAGTACACTAGTATTGATACACAGTCGACATTAGTATTAATACACAGTACACTAGTATTGATACACAGTCGACATTAGTATTAATACACAGTACACTAGTATTGATACACAGTCGACATTAGTATTAATACACAGTACACTAGTATTGGTACACAGTCGACACTAGTACTGATACACAGTCGACACTAGTATTAATACACCGTCGACATTAGTATTGATACACAGTCGACACTAGTATTAATACACCGTCGACATTAGTATTAATACACAGTCGACACTAGTATTGATACAGTCGACATTAGTATTAATACACCGTCGACACTAGTATTGATACAGTCGACATTAGTATTAATACACCGTCGACACTAGTATTAATACACAGTAGACACTAGTAATGATACAAAGTATCCGATAATTTATGTACGAAGTCTCAGTTACTTTCAGTACAAAGCAATTGCTTGTTCTAGAAGTCACCGCTAGCTTTTATACGAGGTTGCTGCTAGTTAACGCAAAGTAGTGCTAGGCATGATATAAAGGAACTCTTGTCTGATAGTTCTGATATAAAATAGCACTTTTAAAATATAATAACTGCTTCTCTTTAAGCACAGTAGCCGCTGTTCTTTTTAAAGCATCTAGTTTAAGAAAGGCAGTTTTAATATAAAAGTAACAGTTAATGTGAATAAAGTAGCGACTAGTTTTGATAACGTAAAAGCTAGTTTTAATAAAAAAGCTAATTTTAAAAAAGTAGCAGCTAACTTTAATTAAAAGTAGCAGCTAGTTTTAATAAACGTAGCAACTAGTTTTAATAAAAA